ATGGACCCATCTAACGGTTAGTCCGCCTCATTAAAAATATATAATAAAAATATAATTTTTCATAACATAAATAGATATTTTTTGTTAACATCACGTGTTATGTTAGGACGTCCTAACCATTATACCGACATACTATTTTTATAAATATTCATACTTATTAGGCAATGACATACTTTCAAAAATAATAGACAACGAGTTTATATTTGATAATATAAGTATAAATTTTTATTCAAATAGTATAATGACAAATTGATCCGCCTAACGATTAGAATGTTTCAGCGACGAGACCACTACAAAGAAAATGATGAAATTTCAACGGAAATATATTCAGTTATAATTCCAACGGCAATTCCAATGGATATTTTTTAATGATATTATCTTCGTTGGAATTTTGTAATGGATTCTAACAAAAATTCCAACAAAAATATTCCATTGGAATGAGTTTTCCATTGAAATTTCCGTTGGATTTTGATGATTCCAACGGGAGTGAAAATAAAAATTCGAACGTAAATTGCATATTCCAATGGAAATTCTTATGGTAAAAAATCGTTGGAAATATAGCCATTGGAATCCTCAAATTCCATCTAAAATTTCAACGAAATGCACATTCCAACGGAATATTTTTGTTAGAATTTCTGTTGGAATCATTCCAACGGAAACTATACTATTAGAATATTTGTTGGAATTTTCATTGAAATATATCACAATAGGATTTTCCGTTGGAATCTAACAATTTTTTTTTATAGTGGACTATGAATTTATGTTAAGTTAAAAGTTGAGATATATCGATATGTCTAACGGACAGAAAATGTAACACCTACATAGACTCATTCCAGACTAAGTTGAGATACATTTTACGAACTCCGAGTTTTAAAATTATCCAGAGACTACTACTATTTGGGAAAGGCAGACTTGATGTTCGAAGGCGAAGCTACGGATATTACGGGCCTTGACATAGTTTTCGATAGCGGAAGCACCTACACTTACCTCAACAATGTAGCTTTTGGTGCAATTTTTGATTTGGTGAGTTTCTAACTAAATCAAAATCAGATGTATTTAATTAGTACCTTTCGTAGCTAGGACTGCAAATGAGTCGAGTCGAGTCGAGCAGAGCATGGACCTTGTCGAGTGCAATTCGAGCTCAACGAGCCATGTAAAACAATACCTTGGTTTTATAGCCAAGTAGGAAATACAGAAATGAAATATAGCCACTATTTTGTGAAAGTATGAATAATGACATTGAGAAAATTACAAATTTGGTCCCAAAACTTTTGCTGTTTCCCACATTTAGTCCTAGGCACGTCAATTATAGTCCTTTTTGAATTTTCGTTGCCAAAATGGTCCCACGTCCGTCAATATTGACGGGGCTCGTGTGAGGACGTTAGATTGGACCAATTTTGCAATTTTGGGACCAATTTTGCAATTTTTCAAAAAAAAAAAAAATGAATTCTTCAAATTCTTCAAGTCTCTCTCATTTACTCAAAGCCGAAATGACATAATAAAATTAATTTACTATGAATATTATGCGATAATAAAATATTAAAAATAATTTTATAAAAATAAATATCGGGTGGAAAAGTAAAGGTGTTGATAAATTTTAATTTTTGGTGGAAAAGTAAACGATATAATTGCTAATTGTGTGGTATTTATTTTATTTTCTAATATTTTTACCGTCATTACTTAAAAAATATTAGAAATTATCTGAATATTAGTTAAATTAAAGAATATTTAGAAATAATATTATTTTAATTAAATAAAGCAAACCAAAAGACATAATCCGATTTATCAAAATAAGAAAAAATGTGAGTATGCTTACAATAATACTAATCCGTCTACACTTTTAAATATTAGTATAATGTGATAATTTAAAAAAAAACCCAATCTAAATATATATATATATATATATCTTTACAAACTTTATTAAAATTATTTATACACCTTTTGTTAAATTACCCAATTAAATAACTATTTTATGTAAAAAAATCAAGTTAAACTTTAATTTAATTGAAAAAAATGTGGAAGAATTGTATGTTAGTTATATTTATTTTTTATAATTTATTAAAAAATAAACTAAATGTATTGTTAGGAAATAATGGTAATATATGTTTTTAACATTTACTAAAAAAAATTTAAAAAAATGTTTCTAATAAAAATAAATTTAAATAATTTTTATCACTTACTTTTTGAGAAAATTGTAAATTTGGTCCCAAAACTTTTGTTGTTTTCCACATTTGGTCCCAGGATATAAACGTTGACCGTTAAGTCTTGACGCAGTGGGACCATTTTGGCAACAAAAATTCAAAAAGGACCATAATTGGCGTGCCTGGGACCAAATGTGGAAAACAACAAAAATTTTGGGACCAAATTTGCAATTTTCTCTAATGACATTTTTGTCACGTCCAACGACACAAATACTCTTACTACAAAACATTTTTATAAAAAATAAGGTATAATTGCTGACACCCATAAATTGGTTCTAGAATTTCAGTAATCAATTGTAAAATTCAAGACATTGTTTATGTGTCATAGAAACCATGTCTGGAATCTCGAAATTAGTTATATAATTCAAGATATTATTTAAATGTTCTAGAAAGCGCTAGAAAAGTAGAAAGCATTTCAGAAATACTAGAAATCATTTATGAACTCTAGAAATGATTTTGAGTGAAAATTGAGGAGAGGTTATTTTGGTCAATTCACAGGGCAAAACGACTACTATTCACACTTAAAAAAAGGGCTGTATTTTATCTTTTACAAAATGAGAAGACTATTTACTAATATTACCACCATGTATGCTCGACTCTACTCGTGAAGAAAATAAGAATGTTTGAGATCCACTAGATGTTCGACATGACTCGAGTTCGGCTCGAAAGTTTAATAACTAAAATATAAAATATAAAAGTACTATTTTTAGGCTATGTTTGGTAAGTCAAATAAGCTAGCTTATAGCTTATTTAGTTGGCTTATAAGCTTTCAGTATTAAAATAAGCCTTGTTTGGTCGGACGGATTTTTTTAAAAAGCTCGAGCTTATCTTATAAGCTACTTTAGGTAGCTTTTCAAATAAGCTAGTTAAATTTTTTATTTCAGCTAGCTTATCAGCTAATTTTGCCAAACACTTTTTATCATATAAACTAGCTTTTCAGATATAAGTCATAAGCTACAAGTTATAAGCTCAAAAATTACATATAAGCTATAAGCTAGCTTATCAGCTAGATTTACCAAACATAGCCTTAATCTGAATAGACAGTTTTGACATTTGTGTTCTAACATTGATAATTAAACACTATGGGGTATTTATGTAAATAAAAAGTAGAACGGCTCGTCGAGCTTACGAGTGTCTTGAAATGATGCTCGAGGCTCGACTCGTTTGCTCGAGTTCGAGTTTGACCGAACTCGCCTCGTTTGCAGCCCTATTTATAGCTATTAATTAAGCAAAGAGCGCGATTTTCGTTGCATATATATATCATGCGTGCGACGTGCATCGGTTGCCCAAGATCACGATATCCTATTTCAGTGCACATTTTTTGACTAATTAGGTCACACATTTGAAGCTATTTTTTATTTTATTTTTTATAATTAACCATATATTTCTTGTGATTATTTTGATTTTATTTTTTATTTTTTGGCGAGTAGATTGAGCGATACAACAACATAAAAGGGCCTTCTTCACAAAAAGGGCCATTAATAAAGCAGGTCAATGATCCATCATTCCAGTTTTGTTGGAAAGGATCTCAGCCGTTCATATGGGTTTTCGACGTCGGCTATTACTTCAATCCTCTGGCTTTGAACTTCACTAGCACCAATGTTCTGTTCCCCATGGGCATCGAATCTTATCTTATTATCTCAGTAAGTTCTATTTTTTCCCCTTTTGGTGTAGCTGAGTCAAACAGTCAAACATTGGCTTTAAACGAGGTGTGCTCGAGCTCGATGAGTTTGTCTTGCTCGAGGCTCGACTCGAGTTCAGTAAGACTGTTTCAATTAAAAAAAAATGTCTATTTAAGAGTATTTAAGTAGTTTTATGCATATTCAAGTACAAACTATATATGGGCTGGAGCTCGACTCGTTTGAGGCCCTAATGTGTGTAAAAGCTTAGGCATATTCAACGGCACTGAAATTGGACTGAAAAACTACAATTTGATTGGAGGTAGGTTTAATTAATTATTCAAATGCAAATACAATATCATCAATTGTTTTTAATTAATTAATTACAATTAAAATCAGTTCTCGTATTAATTTTTTCAATATTGTCAAATCCATATTTTCGAAAGTATTTCATCGTGTGCAGGCATTTCGTTTCAAGATAAATTAGTGTTGTACGATAACGACAGGCAGCTGGTTGGATGGGAATAGGGAGCTGACTGCAGCACCATTCCAAGTTAAATCCAGAGAAGCTATATACGATGCCTAAGCACACATTGGACTGAAATTGGATGGGATGGGTTAATAGACCTAAAAGAAATAATTATACACGGTGTTAGAGATTTTCTTACAAATTTATTAAAGGTTGGGTTAATAGACCTAAAAGAAATAATGATTGATTTGGTTCTCCCATTGTCCCTAACTCTGGCCCGCAACGATATCTCAATTGAGGCCTGCCTACAAACGGTTAAACCAAAGCGCCCATTGAATAGCTCCATTGTGTCGAAGAAAGTTGGCCCAATGAGCCTGTTTAACCGGGGGCCCATTAAATTGCTCAATCATTATTAGTCGAAGAGAAGTTGGCCCAATGAGGCTCTATATGCGTGTCATCGGAAAATATAAAGGGAAAATTACATACATATATCCTTATATAGATATATCTACATATATACTATCCATGCAAAAATTAATCAAAACAGGATTGAGTGGTAGTTTTATTTTCATTTGTACGAGATATTGCTCCATAATCAGTCAAAAAATCTCGCAAGGAAACATGATCCGTTACTCTCTCTCTCCATATATGGATTATGGAGCTGAAAGCGAAAATCTAGCAAGGAAAACAGGATCCGTTACTGCTCCATAATTCTTTCGATCGATTTACAGAGCATGCTCCCGTCGAGATCTCCACTTCTTCTTTCTTAAAAAAATAAAAATCATGATTTTGGATTGGAAAACGAAAAAAATTCAGTTGATCCAACAAACCATTGGATGCGGACAAAAAAATTGAAGGTATTTTCAAATTCTGAGTTTGTTTATTCTTTATTTTTTCTTTTTTTGTGTTTGATGTGACCTGGTAATTTTTTCCTTTAGGCCTGTGCATCGTTGGTTGGCTGGAGGACGCCTGACGGGCTCGCGGGCTGATGCTGGGCTTCGCAGGCTGGGACCGGGCTTCGCGGGATGATGTTGCTGCTGGCCACGCCTGTGCGCGGCTGCGGCCTGCCGGCGCCCGCCTGCCCGGCCACCTTGCTGGAACGTCTTCGTCGATCTGGAGTAGTATCCTCTTCTCCTCCTGCTACCACGAGTGCCAGTGACTGCTATTTTGATTACGAGTTGTCCAGCGAGTTCGTGGCCGAGTTTGGTTATCATTCGACGAGTTCCCTGTTGTGTTTACAAATCTTTGTAATATTTGATAGTACTTTATGTTAATTAACATTATGTTTAATCTCTTTTCATAATTGTTTATATATTGTTTATCTTATGTATAACTATACGGTTAATAATAGAGAATTGTCAGATCATGTTTATCTAATGTATATATACAATATATCTAAACATATATTTGGTGGTTGGACGAATTTTTTTTTTTTCGAATTCAAAATGTCGATTACCGAATTTTTGCTCTACCGAATTTTTTTCTATTCCCAATCGGGATCATAACTTTTTTCTACCGAATTCAAATTGTTTATATGTTGTTTATCTTATGTATAACTATATGTTTAATAATAGAGAATTGTCAGATCATGTTTATCTAATGTATATATACAATATATCTAGAATTTAGGGATTGGAAGCAAAAAAATTATTTTCGTGATCTGTATATATGTTCAGATATACTGTATATACACATTAGATAAACATGATATGACCATTCTTTAATATAAATAGTTATACATAAGATAAACAACATAATATTACTGATCTTTCCATTATGGTTGTTTCGTTATTCCTTACTTCTGGTACATTTGTATAGGAGTATTTTATAAAATAAATGAATGGTGTAATTCAAACCTATATAAGTTGTACATAAAAGAATATGGGGCCAGTGATTATTTGGTACATTTATGTGTCTTATGAGTATAAATAAACAATAAATAAGTAACAATCATATACTCGAGTTGATTTACTACACGGTTTAATATACATTAGTTAAACACGTATGTGTGCTTATGTCTATATTTTATGTTGACAACACGGTATAATATACGTTAGATAAACACAATACTTAATGTAATATACATTAGTTAAACATGTATGGGTGCTTATGTCTCTATTTTATGTTTACAACACGGCATAATATACGTTAAGTAAACACATTACTTATAGTATTTATAGTATACGTTAGATAAACACATTACTTAAAGTATGTAATATACATTAGTTAAACACGTATGTGTGCTTATGTCTCTATTTTATGTTTATAACACGGCATAATATACGTTAGGTAAACACATTACTTAAAGTATTTATAATATACGTTATGTAAACATTCATGAAATGCAATATACTTATACCACGATAACAAAAGTTGGACATATATATACATAAGATAAACATCATATTAACATTTCTAAAAATGTGACATATACTTATAACATGATAAGAAAGATTGTACATATATATACATAAGATAAACAATATATAAACATTCCTTAAGTGCAATACACTTATACCACGATAACAAAAATTGGACATATATATATAAGATAAACATCAATTTTAACATTTCTGAAAATGTAATATACTTGTAACATGATCACAAAGATTGTACATATTTATAAGATAAACATCAATTCCGATTCTATGTCACTGTCGACCTTCGATACATCCACACCAACTTCACTCGAATATGATTCCTCCTCCTCTTGAAGATTGAAATCCGAATCTGATGTTGCAACAATTTTTGATTTACCCCGTTTTCCTCGAACCCTCTTCTTATTGGGTTAGTCCGGCACCTTATCTTCTTTTCTTTTTTTTTTTTTTTATGGTTGGGGACAAAAGAGTCGCCGTCGTCCGACTCATCCTCGGCGGTCTTCGGGACAGATTTTTTGGCGCGGCTCGGAGCCTCTATTTTCTTATTGGAGCTTTTTTTGTACAATCTTGCGTTAGGGAGGTTAAAATTGTGATTTGGGACGAGATTGGGAGCGGGTTATCCTTGCGCCGTCTTCAATGTTGAATGGCTTGCACTCAATCTTTGTTCGCTTCGACATTATTATCGTAGAGATTCAATTTTTTGGTGTTGAGATTAAGCGGTTTTTCTGTGTGAATGATAGAGATGAAAAGTTTTTGGAGAGAGATAAGAACTGCACTATGGCCGAGATATTGAGAGAGAGAGAGTGATATCTTTACCTTTCTTTTCCATTGAGTGTGAAGGTAGGAAATCACGTTTCCTAATATTCATGTAAGGCAGTTTTGATGTATTTGAAACTGACACATTTTTCAGACTTAATTAAATATTATTAACATAACTTACGGTTAGTCAGCCCAAATTAAACCGCCTAATCAATTACTAATATTATTTTAATTATAACATATCGTAAATTTGATGAAAGTTCTATTTATTCGTAAATATGATAATATTTAGGCAATGGTAAGTATGGGAGGTAATTTTCTCAAATATAAACATGTTTGTTTATGGAAATTTTTTGTTTTGTTTGGATTTTTTGTTTTGTTTTAGTTAATTTTGAAAAAGGTGATATGGTTAAGTGTTAGTGGGTATATTAAAATAATATTTAAAATAAAATAATTAAAATTGATTTGATGTAAAAGTAGGAGATGGAGATTTGAAGTGATTGTTAGTTAAAATAATGTGAGTGGATGAATAGTGAATTAAGGTTGATGATGGGGTGTATGAATGATTGATTGATATTATTTAATTATATTGATAATATTGATGATAGTGGGGTTGAGTTAAAGTTGAGTTAAAAAAAGTGGTAGAGTTAAAATGTTGGAATTTTTTTGAAAATTCTTGTAAACAAACATGCTCAAGTTTCTGAATTTAAATCGACTCAACTCGTTAAAACTCGATTTCATCTAGTTTACGAGCTGAGTTTTTAAGACTCGAAAATATGAACTCTTATATAATTTTTAATATCTCGACTTGTTAATATGGACAATTGAATCGAGCTCAACTCAACTCGTTTTAATCCAATATCCACCTGTAACCTATTATCCCTTCTTTTCTTCCACTATTTTTTTTAAGTCCAACTTTGTGACAAGACCGAAATTGCATTTTTTCTCGAAATCTTGTGTGGAAGGAGAGAGAAAAACTGTTATGCTATTTTGAAATTTACCAAAATGATTTACAAAATTCTAAAATAAGTTCTTTTCTCATCAGAACAGTCAAAGAAAGATTACAAAAACATTATATTATAATGTCCTGTAAAGTCCCACGTTTTTATTTTCTTTTATTATGAAAAAGTCAAACTTTGTGAAACGATTGTCAACATTATTTGACAGAAATTGTATTTTTTCTTAAAATCTTGTTGAGAGAGAGAGAGAGATAAACTGCAATGTTATTATAGAATTTACAAAAATTTTAACAAATTCTAACATAAATCCTTCTCTCATCCGAACAGTCAAAGAAAGATTATAAAAAAAATAATATTATAATGTCCTGTAATGTCCCAGCTTTTGTTTTTTCCATTTTGTTCTTCACGCACTATAAAAAAAATTATTATATATATTCCAACAGAAAATTCTACGATAATATACTCCAACAGAAATTTCAACGGATATTCCAATGGTATATCTTCCGTTGGAATGATTCCAACGAAAATATTGCATTGAATGATTTTCCATTAAATTTTAGATGGAATTTGATGATTACAAAAGCTATTTTTTTAACGGTTTTTTACCGTTAAAATGTGTAATTTCTGTTGGAATTTTTATTTCTACTTCCGTTCAAAAATCTACCGTTGGAATCGTCAAAATCCAACGGAAATTCCAATGAAAAATTTATTCCAATAGAATATTTTTGTTGAAATTTCCTTTGGAATTTCATTAAAATATATTTGTATTGGAACTTTTCGTTGGAATTTCATCATTTTGTTGTAGTCACGATTCTTGGGACTAAATTAAATCATCTGTCTTTTTCAACAATCGTTGGTCATAGAGTGCTGTGTTATTTGACATGATTAATGACTCTTGAAATAACTTCAGCAATTCCTTATTTTTAAATTAATATTAATTATAAATACAAGTTCATTTTGTATATGCAATGTTAACTAATAAAATACTTAAGTTTTAAGAAAAAATTATATTAATACTTAATAAAAATAAAGAAAAAAGAGTGGATATGGATAATAATGAAGATAAAACTAAACAGGAAAAAAATATAGTTACATATTTCCTCACTTAGGCGTTCATTCAATATATTGAATTTCATATTTTTTTTAATTTATAAATAATTATCTTTGGAGTGGTTATTCTATCATAATATCCGTGACACCAAAAAAATGTCATATTCCAACAGCAAATCTTACATAATATATTCCAATGATATAGCTTACGTTGGAATAATTCCAACACATATTCCAATGGAATTATTTTGTTGGAATGAGTTTTCCAATTGAATAATTCCAACATATATTCCAATGGAATTATTTGTTTTTTATGTATTTTGGAAAGCAAAAGAAAATAAACAAGAAATTCATGAGTATAACATAAGTATAAATTGCACAATTTAAAAAATAACATACTGTTGAATGTGATTGTTTATGGATTCAATTAGTTTTTATTTGATTTGTTTTTTAATTATAGTTAATTTTTTTTTAAAAAAAATAGTATGGTTAGTTGTTAGCGGATATATTAAATAATATTTAAATAAAATAATTAAAGTTGAATTGATGTAAAATAAGAGAAAAATGATTAGAAGTGATGGTTAGTTAAAATGATGTGAGTGGATGAATAGTGAATTAAAGTTGATGTGGTGTGTAAGAATGATTGTTTGATATTATTTAATTATATTGATAATATTGGAGATAGTGAGGTTGGGTTAAAGTTGAGTTAAATTTGAATTTTGATTAGTTTTTTTACTGTTCAAACCATATTCAATCGCCCCCTAAATAATTTTAAACATTTTATTTTTATTTTTTATATTAAAATAACTTTGCATAATAATTAAACATGTATTTTTTTATGTCAATATAATAATATATTTATACATATAACATATATATATACTATATATTCCGTCAAAAAAAAAAATATACTCCCTCCTACTCATAATAAGTATCGTTTAGGGAAGTTGCACACTAATTAAGAATATTTTTTTGCCAATAATAACCATCATTAATGAAGATAGATATGGATGTTTTAAAAAAAATGAAAAGAATATGAAAAGACGTAGTATATTTATTAACTAAATGAGGATAATAATAAAAAATATGTACAAAAAATTCAAAACGACATTTATTTTGGTTAATAGTTGATAAAACCAAAATGACATTTAAAAAGAATAAGAGGTAGCATATACTATATTACTAAACAAGTTCTACACGGGCCCGTACCCCTACGGGCCCCTATATAAGTCCGCCCATGTCTGTAATTGTCATGTCAAACGTTAATTTTTTTTCAACTGAAAAACTGATCTCAAACTCAAAAAATTATTCTCAAAATATTCTTTTCATATCACCTTTTTTAACTTTTCAAATAAATGTAGTTAATACTCCTAATTGTCATAATTCATATCGATATGATTTGAGTTAAGAAAAATTTTATTATATATCTTTTTGATGTAGTCATACACGTATATTATTATTAATTTTAGATAAAACTAACTATACAAATTTGTGAAAAATATATTATTTAAACAGTTTATGTGGCGTGATCAATTCTTGACTTGGCAAACTCGATCTTAGGTCAAATTAATTATATTCTGTCTCATATAAATGCATGTACATGGGGAGGTTTGTTTTGTAACTAAGTTTGGTTAATCCCTCCAAATCAAACCAAACCAAACCATGTCTAGCTTTTACTCCTCGTCCTCCACCCTTATTCTCCTCCTCTTCCTCTTCTCCATTCTCTCATTTTCCTCTCAAGCCTTCGACGAAAACCGCGCTGGCCGACGAGGCCTCGTCACCGTCGACCTCATCCGCCGCGGCTACCCCGGCTCCCCCACTTACGACCCTTCCGTATCCCGTTTCGACCTCCTCCGCTCCTCTTTCCGCCGCTCGGCCGCCCGCAAATCCTTCCTCAACCACCGCAAAACCTCCGATGCCGTCACCGCCCCGATGTCCCCCGACAGCTCTGAGTACCTGATGGAGGTCAGCCTCGGCACCCCTCCCGTCAAAGTCCACGCCGTCGCCGACACTGGCAGTGACCTCATATGGGTCCAGTGCCAGCCGTGCACGAATTGCTACTCCCAAAACGACCCGTTCTTCGACTCCACCCAATCCTCCACCTACCAAACCCAATCGTGCGACTCCACGCCGTGCTCCTTCCTCGACACCCTCGGTTCCTGCGACGACGACAACTCGTGCAAGTACAAATACTCGTACGGAGACGGATCGAACACGACCGGCGACCTCGCGTCCGAGACCCTCACCGTCGGCTCTGCCCCCTTCGCGAACGTCACGATCGGCTGCGGCCACGACAACGAAGGCCTGTTCAGCGCGAGCGGGTCGGGGATCGTCGGCCTCGGCGGCGGGAATCTCTCCATCGTCTCACAGCTCGGTCTCGACGAATTCTCGTACTGCCTGACCTCCGTCGGGTCAGACAGCACGAGCACGATTAGCTTCGGGAGCGGGTCGGGGCCCGTCGGGTCAGGCGTGGTCTCGACACCGCTCTCGATTGATGAGACATTCTACTACCTAACCCTAGACAGTGTGACCGTCGACGGCGGGTCGACCCAGATCGAGTACGGGTCGGAGGACGGGAGCAACAAAATTGTAATAGACTCGGGGACGACGTTGACGTATTTGCCCTCGGATATTTACAACAGTTTGGAGGCGGATCTTGTGAATGCGGTGCGCGGTCATAAGGTTGACCCGCGGGATGACACGTTCAGGGTGTGCTACCAGAAAGAGGGGTTGCAGGCGCCGACGGTGGTGGTGCATTTTAGCGGAGGGGCTGACGTGGAGCTGGAGCAGGATAACACGTTTACTGAAGTGGATGATGGGATTCTATGCCTGACGATGGTGCCGGCGGATGACGATAACTACATTTTCGGGAACTTGAACCAGATGAATTACTGGGTCGGGTACGATATTGCTGGGGGGAAGGTCAGTTTTCAAAAGAGCGATTGTGCGGCGGAAAGCGCTGCGCATTTGATTGGTTAAATGAGTTGGTTAATTGGTTTGACTTTGGTAGTAGTAGTTTGTCTTGTGTCTTTTAAGTAAGTGCTTATCTTTTATAGAAAAATGCTACAATCCCGTTACGGAACCATTCCGTTGGGATTGTAACCGTTAGATCATCAAGTAACTGTCAATGATGCTTGATCTAACGGTTACAAATCCCAACGGAATGGTTCCGTAACGGGATTGTAGCCTTACCCTCTTTTATATATGCATGACATATATAGGTCTATTATTTCTTGTCATTTCTCGAGTAAGTGGACCCGAACACAAATGTCAAATGGGCCTCTGTCCGTGTAGCCCTAAATAAAAATAATATGTTTGGATTATCTATTTTTATCTATTTAATCACTGTTTTTTTATCCGACAATTAAACATGAACCTATATTATCAAACAATTAACATAAACCCAGTGGTGTAATCGACCCGAACAGGTCAAGTTTGAGCATTTCGAGTTTGTGTTCGTTTACGTGTGAACACTGTTCGTGTTTGTTCGTTTATTTTTTGGAGCGAAAAATTGTGTTCGGACTCGTACGTCGTTTAATTGTTCGTCAAAATTCGAGTTCGTTTGTGTTCGAATAATTTAGGACGCAAACTTCTTAAATATGTTTGGTTAACTCGAAATATTTTCGTTCAAACTCGTTTGAACTCAAAAATAAGAAATTTCTTTTATATATTTTTTATTATATTTTTCTATTAAAAATATCTTACAAATATATATAAAAAAAAATTACATTTAATTAATGTTAGCAAACATTATCTAACAAACTTGGAAAATTATGTCCATTCGCCTTTACTTAAAAAAATCACATATTGACAAATGTTAGTAATAACATTATAGTTGGCTAGTTGCTACAAATCAAAATATGAAAATATAACAGTTTGTAAAATAAATGAGAAATGGCCTTAGAAACGATTTAATACATCACAACAAGGAAAAATACAACACGCATGGTTGGACTATTGTGATTTTCTAGATGTTTTCTCTATTGTGATTTTTCCAATAAAATTAATAAAGATACAAACTCACATTTTTTTTATTTTATTTTTTTATCTTATCTGGAGTTAACTATATTTACTTATAACTAGATTTTAATAAAGTAATTAAAATGTGGTGTAGTTAGTTGTTATTGAAATTTTGAATTTAGATTAAAATAATATTTAAAATAAAATAATTAAAGTTGATTTGATATAAAAGTATGAGAGATGATTTAAAATGATAGTTCGTTAAAATTATGTGAGTGGATGAATAGTGAATTAAAGTTGATGTGATATGTAAAAATGATTGAGTTATATTATTTAATTATATTGATAATATTGAGAATAGTAGAGTTGGGTTAAAACCATAGTTGTCAAAATTGGACCGGATCGGCCGGTCCGACCGGTTTGAACCGTGAGCCAGCCAGTTCACCGATCCGATTCAATGGAAGAAACCGGTTGTGGCCAAAATCGGTCAATGACCGGTCGAACCGGCCAAAACTGACCAAAAACCAGTCATTTCTTTTTTTTTTGCCAATCCGGTCAAATTATTTTTATGTATAAATTCTAACACTTTTATAAAGCAACTAACCTTTTATGGTTACCGATGTGCGATAAGATGTAAGAATTCCAAATTTTCAATTGTAAAGGTAAAGGACTAAAGTCACGCGTGGAAAAAATTTCTTTTCCCTTTTACCTGCGTGTGGAAGGAATTTCTTTTCCCATACCCAATATTTATTTCCTATTATTTTATTGCCCAATGTGGGAGTGTGAGGAAATATATATATATTTTTTTTTCTTCATATTTTTGTACTATCATTTTATTGCTTAACCTATATATGGTGGGACCAATCTTTTAAAAAATAAGTCAACCATATTTAATATTTATAAAGTATTATATATTTAAAATATCAATAAATTAAATAACTTAAAAATTAAGTTAACTATATCTATGATTAACTATATTTACTTATAACTAGATTTTAATAAGGTAATTAAAATGTGGTGTAGTTAGTTGTTATTGAAATTTTGAATTTAGATTAAAATAATATTTAAAATAAAATAATTAAAGTTAATTTGATGTAAAAGTATGATAGATGATTTAAAATGATAGTTAGTTAAAATTATGTGAGTGGATGAATAGTTGATGTGATATGTAAAAATGATTGAGTTATATTATTTAATTATATTGATAATATTGAGAATAGTAGAGTTGGGTTAAAACCATAGTTGTCAAAATTGGACCGGATCGGCCGGTCCGACCGGTTTGAACCGTGAGCCAGCCAGTTTACCGATCCGGTTCAATGGAAGAAACTGGTTGTGGCCAAAATCGGTCAATGACCGGTCGAACCGGCCAAAACTGACCAAAAACCAGTCATTTCTTTTTTTTTTGTCAATCCGGTAAAATTATTTTTATGTATAAATTCTAACACTTTTATAAAGCAGCTAATCTTTTATGGTTACCGATGTGGGACAAGATGTAAGAATTACAAATTTTCAATTGTAAAAGTAAAGGACTAAAGTCACGCGTGGAAAAAATTTCTTTACCTGCATGTGGAAGGAATTTCTTTTCCCATACCTAATCTTTATTTCCTATTATTTTTTATTGCCCAATGTGGAAGTGTGAGGAAATATATATTTTTTTCCCATATTTTTGTACTATCATTTTATTGTTTAATCTATATATGGTGGGACCAACCTTTTAAAAAATAAGTCAACTATATTTAATATTTATAAAGTATTATAGATTTAAAATATCAATTAATTAAATAACTTAAAAATTAAGTTAACTATATCTATGACATATTATATATATATATATATTTAAAAATATCAATAAATTAAATAACGGTCCAATCGGTTCAACCACTAGTCGAACCAGTGAACCATTGAACCAGAAGCTTGATCGGTTCGATTACCGGTCCAATTTTGATAACCTTTATTAAAAGTAAAACTGAATTAAATTTAAGTTAAAAAAATAATTAATTAAAAATAATTAATTTTTTTTTAAATAACTTGTATTCAAGCATCCTCTTAACTTCCCAAACAAAAGTTACTAATGGCGCCAAACATAAAGTCGTCCCGTCTGTACTCTGTCCAGTTCCATCCAATTCGAGCAATTGATGTAAAGTCGTGTATTACGTAAAGTAAATAAGTTTCAAAACCTGATGGCATCAGTCTCACTGCAGAAACCGGAGCATAATCTACCGGAGGTAAATCCATTTTCCACAGCAGCATAAAGCGCGCACCTCCACACACACACACACACACACACACAAACTTTAGACGCCTGAAAACTCCTCCAAACGCCGTTTAGCACTTCCCAGAGGATGGCGGAGGTTATCTCCCTCATGGACATCGACGGCGAGAATGACGACAGCCGGTTCCCAAGCCCCAACACCAAGGGCAAAAACGTCGTCGTTACAGCTGGTGCGGCGGACACCAAGGCCACCCCTTGGGTCGAGAAGTACCGTCCTCAGTCTCTCGACGACGTCGCTGCGCACCGTGATATTGTTGAAACCAGTAAAAATCCTCTTTATTGTCTCCTCCCTGACTGTTTTTTGCTCTTCGTTCTTGCGCACTTATACAAACAGTTGGTGGGCTTAACTGTAACGGCCCTCCGATGCTTTTGAATTTGAGCTTTGGGATCAGTTGTTGGAAAATTTGACATTTGTTTTCTGATTCTGGATGTTTATATCTATGGTTGGAGAATTATTAGCATTCTAGGGTGTGGAGCTCCGATTTTGAAGGGTTTTTGGTTCCCCTCTTTTTGCAGTAGTTTACTTGTGCAGTTGATAGCTCTTGTGCCTTATGTCAAAATTGGCAGCACTTGTATAATTTATATCTGGAGCTTCTGTTTTCTTATGAGCTGTTGTAATTTTTGTTTTATTTTTTTTTTTGGGCTCCAGTTGATAGGTTAGCAAATGGAAAAAGATTACCCCATTTGCTACTGTATGGGCCACCAGGGACCGGGAAGACATCTACAGTCCTTGCGTTGGCTCGTAAGCTTTACGGGAACCAAATGCACAACATGGTCCTGGAGCTTAATGCTTCTGATGATCGTGGGATTGATGTAGTGAGGCAGCAAATTCAGGACTTTGCGAGCACTCAGAGCTTCTCTTTTGGGTATTTTGCTTATCCTTAGGGCCAAATTATAAAATATACTCTTAAGGTTTAATACAGTAGTGAGTTAGCAGATTTTCTTGGGATTTATTGTCATAGGTTCTGTTTTGTAGTGCAAAGTCATCAGTGAAATTGGTTTTATTGGATGAGGCAGATGCCATGACTAAGGATGCACAATTCGCTCTACGTAGAGGCAAGAACCTTTCACTTCTCTTACGGCTCTGTCCGTCTGATTTCTTTTTTCATTTTTTATTTTTTGATTTAGGTTATTTAATTTTGGTTCATGTACTTGCTTTGCAGTGATTGAGAAATACACAAAGAGCACTAGATTTGCTCTCATCTGCAATAATGTCAACAAGATCATTCCAGCATTGCAATCGAGATGTACACGGTTTCGTTTTGCTCCTCTTGACTATGTTCATGTCATGGAGAGACTTAAGCATGTCATTAAAGCTGAAGGGTAGGTATTGAGCCATATTTATTCACACCTTTCATAGTTGTTTGGACGGGTTTCAGTTTTTAAATACCAACCAGACTACCGACTTTCTTTTAAGTGTGTGTGAGTGCGTGCAAGTATGTTGTGTTTCACTCTTTTCCTTTCATTGTTTTTTTTTTTTCAATCATAAGTTGTTATATGAAGTCATTGGTGATTTGAAGCTTATATTTGTTTGCGACATATTTTGTCTATTCAGACTTGATGTTCCTGAGAAAGGCATGAAAGCTCTTGTACGGCTCAGCAATGGTGACATGAGAAAGGCTCTAAACATTTTACAGGTTAACATCTTGCTCAAGCTTCTTATCTTCTTTTGTTTACCTGTTGACTGTAGCTTCATTCCTCGGCAAATATTGAATTTGAAATGTATGGACCTTTTTTGGTGGTACATGGATATATAAATTTCAGTATCCAGGTCTTTTCTGTGCATGTCTGTCTCTCTCTCTCTCTCTCTCTCCCTCTCTCTAATATTACTTGATGGTTTAAATATGATCAAAGTTGCTGCAGAATGATTTCCTTTTCTTTCCTCCCTCAGTTATTGTTAAATGTTACAATAAGTTGATGATTGTGTGCAGTCAACACATATGGCTTCCCAGCAGATCACAGAAGAAGCTGTGTACTTGTGCACAGGAAATCCATTGCCTAGAGACATCGAGCAGATTTGCCATTGGCTCTTAAACGAACCTTTTGCCCATAGCTGCAAAAGTATATTTGTCATTGAACTTCTTGTTGAACCTCTTGCACTCTCTGATGTTTTGGTATTCATCCATTTAATTTTGTTGCAATTCATGATATGCAGGAATCTCCGAAATCAAGACTCGGAAAGGGTTAGCTCTGCTTGATATTGTGAGAGAAATAACCATGTATGTGCAACTATTCTTATCTGTTACCAATTGGATTTTTCATTCTTACTCATGTGTTGCGTACACTTAATATCAGGTTTGTTTTCAAGATCAAGATGCCACCAGAGATTCGGATTCCGCTGATTAATGAAATGGCTGATATAGAGTATGTATCTTTTCTTTCATTTTTTGTATAGTTATGCTGATGACATATTAATATCCTACTTAAATCTGTATTATTAGAACTAACCAATTCCCTGCCACGGGTCGACTTCTGGGTCACTAAGGTCAACTGCAAGGCCAGTGGGTCTCTTGAAAACACGACAATTAATTTTAGAATGATAAAATATTTAAATCTTGCCTATCAATAGAAATCTAATTAAGTGGCAGATGCTATTTATCCCTATCTTTTCCCCCTACCATTCTTTTTGTATCCAAAGCTGGGAGATCTTCCAATTTGGCCCAAGGTAGTATACTAATTTCCAATCGCTATTTATTTAAATGGTTCCTTTTTTTTTTTTTTNTTAGAAATTAAATCTATTAGATGTGAACTTTACCGTTTAGAGCCTTAATGTTGCAATCACTAGTCATTATATAGATGACCATAAATAATTTTTAATCATAATATCATAGGAAACCAAAAAATATAGTTTTTTTTTGTTATCCCTGCTTTCAGCGACTTCCCTTTTCGATTTGGGCAGAACAATTAGTCATTTTGATTCCTATATATGGGATTTGTTTTCAACCTTTTGTATTAATTTTTCCATTATGGTTTCGGGGGATACAGGTACAGGTTGACTTTAGCATGTAACGATAAGTTGCAACTCGGGTCACTGATTGCAGCCTTCACACGAGCCAGGGTTGCTCTAGTTGCTGCTGCCAAACAATGATGCATAATTTAACCGATGCCTTAATTTAAGGTTAGGAAAAATCAGTCATGTCTTTATATGTCCGCGTTTTGTTAAGTGCATTAGAGACCAAGCGGTTTGTTATCATCTGTCTAAGCAAAAATGGTACTTCTTTCACTCTCTTGGTCATGCTAATATGAGCTTGTTTCTTTCATCGAGATCTTTTCATGCTCTCAGTGTACTAAATTTTATGCTATAAATCACATTGTGTGGACAAGTACAAAAGTACAACTGCACATGCAGGAGGTACGCATGTTGGGCCAAGCTCTAATAGGCCAAAAGTTGTAAAACAAATTTTGCACCTTATGTTTTTCATTATGGACCACCACAATGAGCTGCTGATAAGTACGTAATAATGTCTGTGTTGTACGTTTTTTATGAACCAGAGTGTGAACAGGACCTTCCAGAATGTGGCATTGAAGCTCTGATGCCTTTTTGTGAGTTATCGTTATCGGAATTGAAGAGAAAGATTTGATTGGATTGAATTGCTACATTTTTTGTTTTTTTTTTCCTATAAATTAAATGTGGCATTTTTTGCTTATTAATTTTTATTGCAAAATTCAAATCTTTCACATCAAGATTTCGTTTTCAAACACAAAAATAAAAAATAAAAAAATAAAAGTAAGAAGATTTCGTTTTCAAACACAGCTAGCGTACAATTCTTTTGCATTTAAGAATTACTACAGTCTGCAAGCTTGACTGTGTTGAGGCTATATGGTGTTAAGACAAACTGTAAAGTTTGTAGTATTATGTTTATATGTTCAGGTAGATTCATAATGTGTGTCTGTGCTATTTTCAAGATATTTTATTTTGTAGTCAAAAGAAATAAACAAATTCTAGAATGGGGCAACCTAGAAAATATCTCCGAAGGTTCAACTTTTTTCTATTTCCCTCGGAAGAATGCCCTTATGAAAATTGAACATTGTCGCCTAAAAGATGTTGACGATTCTTTTTTTTTATTTATTTATTTTTTATTTTTAATCGTTGATTTAGAATTCAAATTAAGAAATAGCTAATATATTTTTTTTTTAATTTTTAATCGTTGATTTAGAATTCAAATTAGAAATAGCTAATATAAAAAGAAGAGTTTCGTTCGTTAAAGTTGTGGTTAGCTCTGGCTTGCCAATCAGGTAACAAACACAAGAGTGATTCATATCAACTCATTTTACTTTTTAAATAAAGATGAAAATTTATATTGTGAAAAATGTTATATTTTATTTAAATTGTTTTCTAGATATTTTACGAATGCATATTTATTAATTACATTCCAGCTTCTATACAAGCTGTTAAAGATATTTCACATAATTCTCATATTTCACATCACATATCAATTTCAAACAGCTCAAGAGGATAATCATTATATAAAAAGAATAATATTTTTATAAATTTAGCATGTTTTTTCCGCCGGTATCATTAAATATATCTTATATATAGTAATTGTTGGTCAATTTTGAATAGGCAAAAAAATCAGCGGTGTATATCTGTTTTACGCCATTAACCAAACGAGGCCTATATCTATTTTTCTTTTTCCTGTTTTTTGTACTCAAAACCGTCGGTGACAATAAATATTTGTATTTCTTTTACCTGTTTTTATGGTACTCAAAATTTCATCCCTTATTTAAAAAAATAAAATTTTATGGTACTCAAAATCTCATCTCTTATTTAAAAAAATAAAATATGCCCTATCTCGGGCACTGCTAATTTTTATTGGTCTAATTACTAATATTTTTACAAATATTATAAACTCATCCTCGATAACAATGTAAAAAGTATAATAATAATTTTGAAATTGTGTGTAATCAAATTTTGTTAGATGGAAGTAACACCATAAATTCGGTACCATCTGAATGTCTTTATTAAATTAGGCTATAATATTTTAGATATTTTAAACAAATTGTTTAGACAATTTTTTTACATATTCATCTATATATATACACACATATACATAATTGATGTTAAATTTAAATATTTGTAGACATGTTTTCTCTACAAAACAGTCTAGAAAAATCTTTTTTACACAATGTTAAATTCAAATGTTTTTAGATATATTTTCCTTCTAAAATTGTTTTAAAAAGTTGTAGGGGCCTTCACATCTTGCAAAAAATAATATAGAAAATTTTGAATACTTTTATATATACTAATATAAAATTTTAGGTGTTTTAATATTAAATATCCAAATTTTATATTCTCTTATATAAAATAATACAAATTTTATTTTATTTTATATAAAATAATTTTACATTGTTTAACCCCGAATATTTAATTTATAATTATTAAGTATTGTTTATCCTCCTATTTAATTTATAATTATTTTTTTTCTTCATCTTTTTAAATAAAATCAAAAATAATTTACACTTAGTAACTCAAACTCGTCCATCGCACGGGATAACACTAGTATTAATAACAAGCAAACAATCAATTTAAAACAAAATGGATTATAAATAACAGATTCATAAATACGCATTTTCATTGATTATAACTTGAAACAAGGAAAGACCACAAGACAAGAAAAAAAAACAAAAAAAGAGGGAAAAAAAAAAGACTGCACTCTGCTCCAAAATAATTAAATCTGATACAAAATTAATTTAAAGACAAAAACAACTATACGAACACACACTCAACGATACTGCACGTAGCATCCACGCTCCGACTCGCACGTGCACAGTCATAGACCTAACTAAAAGTCTCCTGTGCCACGCGCCGCCGAGCCGCGTATCCGCCCACCTCCTTCAGAACGGCTTGGTCATGTACGCGTACACCTCGCTCATCGGCTCCATCTGATAGCCGCCGGCAAACTGCGACCCCACCAGCGCGCCGGCGCCGGCGCCCACACAGTCGAACGGGAATTCGAGCGCCGAGCTCCCCCATTCGCCCAGATTCGGCGCGCTCTCGACCTCCGGCGACAGCACGTGCTCCGAGGAGGCTGATCCGGCGGCGGCGGCGCCCGGCGCGCGGAGATACTTTAAATCCTCGTACATCATAGGCATCGGCTCCGGGAATGACGTCAGGATGACGGGCTTGGTATCCTCCGACGTCAGCGCGCTCGCCACGTCGTGGCTGGTGGCGTGCCCCTCCGGCGTCGGCGGCTGCCGCTCGATGGCGCCCTTCTTGTTGTAAATGCGGCACAGCACCCAGTCGTCCAGCTAAACAGATTATATCACAACCGTTAGATTTGATGAATTTATAAATGTTAATATTTAACAATTAAGTGATAGCGAATTGTTAAATATTAATACTCCTACCTAATAATAACTCGAATTACAAGCTTATAGTTCCAAAAAAAACATAAATTAAGCTTTTCTTAAATTAACATTTTAGATAAAAAAATATATTTAAAACTGCTACTTACCAAACATAAAAGTAGATATTTGCAATTTTAATTACTAAATAAGGTCAAATTATAATTGACTTTTATTACAGAACAAATAAATTTAATTCAATTAGCTAATGAAGCAATGAATTGAAGTTGCTTTTTTATCATTAAATTTCCTTAATTAATTTCAAATTTTCATTTACGCAAATCGAGATTTTATTTTTTTTATTTTTTACCCACCCTTAGGCTGTTGTTCTTCTTCCGGGCCGACCGGTCTACATCGGCAAGCCGGTACTCATGCATGATCCAATTGGTTTTCTCCCCCTTCGGCGCCTTGCCGGCGTAGAAAACCAGTGCCTTCTTTATCCCGACCGGCTTTGGCCGCCCGATAGGCTTATCCGCCCCGGTCGCCTTCCAGTACCCCCGGCCCGCCGCCCGGTTCGGCCTCGACCCGTTTGGGTACTTCCGGTCCCTCGGCGAGAAAAAGTACCACTCCTTCTCGCCGTACAGTGCCAGCCCTGCAATTAAATTAACAATTTAATCAATTAATCGGCTGGGTCGGGGTGCAATAAAATATTCAATTATTCGATTAATTAAGCAGTCAATCAGACGATTAACGCCTTATAATCAGTAGAAGCGCGATTTGATTCAGGTCGGGTACAATAAAGTTTTCAATTAATCGATTAAAAAGTGAATCAGTTCGTTTCGGGTCGGGTATGGGTACCTGGGAGCTCCCACGGGTCGTACTTGTAGAGATCGATCTCGGCGATGATTGGGACGGCGATCGGCTGCGACGCGCATTTCCGGCAGAGGTAGTGCGTCACTAGCTCGTCGTCGGTTGGGTGAAATCGGAATCCCGGCGGCAGCTGCAGATCAACGGCTGACATTTTTTCGATGTTTTTATAATCTTGAAAATTGGGGAAATTTTGGGGGATTTTGTGAAACTTAATGCGCAAGGGACCGAGGGGAAATATATAGGGGGGAAGGGGGAGGAAGGGGACACGTGGCGGAGAGGATTTAGAAGGCACGTGGACGATAAGGTTTTGGGGATTTGGGGCGCAAATACTTACGTGCACCTAGGTACACCTTGCTAGGTGTACCAAGGCAGAGAGTGGCTACACGTAAGAAAAAGGAGCGTGGCTTTACAAATAAAAATCCTGTCCAAATCCTAGGTGCACGCGCAGAGAGAGAGATAATAAGGTATGCAAGTTTTTCTTTTTTTTGTTTAAAAAAGACAAGTGTCCAATATATATTGGATAATAAATTTTACATATCATATTATATAAATTAAATTATTATTCACATTTTATATTAAAAAATAAAAATAAAAATACCAAAATTCATAATTTTTCAATCTCTACAAATAGAGACCACATTTGATAAGTTTTGGAACACAATTAATTTATCCTTTTTTATAATTAAATTATCTTTTTGGAAGGTGATGACACAAATATATAATAAGATGAACATGTTACATACTAAGATGCGCATGTTATATAGTAAAATGAACATGTTATAGAACAAGGTGAAAATGTTATAATTTTACAGATGGAATTTAGATGAACATTTTATACAATAAGATGAACATGTTACATAACAAGATGAACATGTTATAGAATAAGATGAACATGTTACATATTTACACAATAAGATGAACATATGAACGTGTTATAAAATAAGATGAACATATGAACATGTTATATAGTAAGATGAACATATGAACATTGGAACACAATTAATTTATCATTTTTTACAATTAATTTATCTTATTGGAAGATTATGACGCAAATATATAATTAGATAAATATGTTACATAGTAAGATTAACATGTTATAGAGTAAGATGAACATGTCATAGAATAAGATGAAAATGTTATATTTTTCAGAGATGAAATTTAGATGAACATGTTACATAATAAAATGAACATGTAATAGAATAAGATGAACATGTTTAGATTCCATATCTACATCACGGGTTCTCACATTATTTTCTCAATTTCCACTTCATATATAAAATTCTAGTCAATTTCTTGCTCGACTTTCACTCGTTTAATGCAAGCATCTCCGCCCTGAAATAATAAACCATAATCTACAGATAAGAACTCAAATTTATGCAATAGTCATACTATAGGGAATGAAAGTGAAAAACTAGTAGAATGTAAAATAAATTTCATAAATTAGTCTTTCGATCGAATATCCTCCACCTTCACAAACCAAAATCCTCTCTAATAAGATGAAAATGTTACATTTTTCACATATGAAATTTAGATGAACATGTTATACGATAAGATGAACATGTTACATAATAAAATGAACATGTTATAGAATAAGATGAACATGTTTAGATTCCATATCTACATCACGGGCTCTCACATTATTTTCTCCAATTTCCACTTCATATATAAAATTCTGGTCAATTTCTTGCTCGACTTTCACTCGTTTAATGCAAGCATCTCCGCCCTGAAATAATAATCCATAATCTACAGATAAGAACTCAAATTTATGCAATAGTCATACTATAGGGAATGAAAGTAAAAAACTAGTAGAATGTAAAATAAATTTCATAAATTAGTCTTTCGATCGAATATCCTCCACCTTCACAAACCAAAATCTTCTCTAATAAGATGAAAATGTTACATTTTTCACATATGAAATTTAGATGAACATGTTATAAAATAAGATGAACATGTTACATAATAAAATGAACATGTTATACGATAAGATGAACATGTTACATAATAAAATGAACATGTTATAGAATAAGATGAACATGTTACATAATAAAATAAACATGTTATAGAATAAGTTGGACATGTTATAGAATAAGATGGACATGTTTAGATTCCATATCTACATCACGGGCTCTCACATTATTTTCTCCAATTTCCACTTGATACACAAAATTCTGGTCAATTTCTTGCTCGACTTTCACTCGTTTAATGCAAGCACCCCCGCCTTGAAATAATAAACCATAATCTACATATAAGAACTCAAATTTATGCAATAGTCATACTATATGGAATGAAAGTGAAAAACTAGTAGAATGTAAAAGAAATTTCATAAATTAGTCTTTCGATCGAATATCCTCCACCTTCACAAACCAAAATCTTCTCTAATAAGATGAAAATGTTACATTTTCACAGATGAAAATTAGATGAACATGTTATAGAATAAAATGAACATGTTACATAATAAAATGAACATGTTATAGAATAAGATGAACATGTTACATAATAAAATGACATGTTATAGAATAAAATGAACATCTTACATACACAATAAGGTGAACATGTTACCAAAAAACGAAAATTAGTTGTGTTCAAAAACCTATCAAATGTGGTCTCTATTTATAGATAATGAAAAATTATGAATTTTGGTATTTTTATTTTATTTTTTTAATATAAATAATTAATGATATTTTAATTTATGTAATATGTCTCATTTTTTCATTAAAAAATAAAAATTGGGAGAGTGCACTACACCTTCTAAATTTTCTAGCTTTTTGAGCTTTTTGAGAATGAGCAGCGCGTGCAAATCGGGCATGGCACACCTAGCAAGGTGTGCCTAGGCACACGATAGTGCAACTTGATTTGGGGTGGGTTTTTATTTTTTTGCTGGCGTCACTGCGTACGCATTTAAATTTGGACGGATTATTTGAAAAGTTTTTAGGAGGTGGAGTGATGTGTGAGCGGTGAGCCTGTGAGGTCAATCGACACGTAGGCGGGTCATGCAAAAGCAAAACGGTGGGAAAGTTGGACCGATCAAAATTATTATTATTATTATTATTATTATTATTATTATTATTACTAGTAAGTAGCTCGTGCGATGCACGGAATATAGATGTTAAATGCGTTATTATCATATGGTATGTCTCTTAGGCTTAAAAAAAGCAGAATAGATCATACATTCTCTACCTTTCAGAGATGTTAAGAGCATCTTTAGTAAAAAAACCCCATAAACCTCCATAAACCTCACTTTTAGACCATCTACAATGGGGTTGCTTAACTGATTGCTTAGAAATAAGCAATTGCTATTTAAGCAATTTCCCATTGTGAAGAGAAGACAAGCAATTGCTTAGGTTAAGCAATTGCTTGAATAAGCAATCCACAAGCAATCAGAATTTGTGGGCCAATGAACCAGAAAATGGCGCAAGACATGAGAGAGAGGATGAGAAATCCAAAATTGTATCAACCAGAATTTAAATTCACCATTGTGGGATTGAATTGCTTAAATCATAGAATTGCTTAATGGCACAGGGTCCCACCAAAATAATAAAAAATATTCTAAGCAATTGCTTATTAAGACAACCATTGTACATGGTCTTACACTTCCCAATATGCCACATCATCAAAAACCTCATTTTTACTCCTACATCCATAAACCTCCAATAACAATAAACCCCATAAACCCCATTTTTCATAAGTCCCACATGTTTCCCACTTACTTTTAATTAATATTATACTCATATATTTTTATTTATATTTTAAAACTATAACTCTTACTTTATTTATTAAATATAAATATTTTATATATTTATCAAAAATACATATAAAAAATATATAATTACATATAATTATATTTTATTATTTATAATTATGTAGTGTTAGGTGCATACGAATGTAAAATTTTATTTATAAAAATTACGAAACATAAAACTTACATAATGTTGAAATTAAATTTTGAGTACAATTTTTATTTCTAAATATTAATTTTGGGAAGTAGATTCATTCCAAATATGTTCAACCAAGTCGTGTCAAAAATAGCTCGTTTTAAATTGTTATTTTTCGACAACAACCACAACTCGTTCTTATTTCAATTAATTGCTTTACATATTTTTTTCGGGCTGTCGAGTAACTCCATTTATTTTAAATCAAATAACCTCAGTTTTGATTCAATCGGTACATAGATGTATATGTATCTTCTTTAAGAAATTCAATTTATTACAATTATTTTTAAAATGTGAATATATGCTCTAAACCATATATGGTCTAGTGTGTAAATTTGCACTAATTCATATATTTTCAAAAGTAACAGTTTTGATTCAATCGGTACATAGATGTATATGTATCTTCTTCACTTTTGAAATGAAGATATGCTCTAAACGATATATGGTCTAGTGTGTAAATTTGCAATAATTCATATATTTTCAAAAGTAACAGTTTTGATTCAAAGTTTGTTAGTGTTTGTTCTTGTTCTAAAATAGCTCGTTTTAAATTATTATTTTTCTAAATATTAAAGAGAATCATATAAATAAAATTTGGGATATCAGATTTGAACAAAAATAGTTGAATTTTACAAGCAAAAAATATTAGACAAAACGGGTTAAACGAATTAATAAACAAATATATCTCTAATTCATTTAATTGCTTTTATTTTATGTTTTTGATTGTCAAGTATGAAAAAAAAAATAGTTGGGAGGAAATTTTATATCTATTGCAATTTAAACTAGTTTTTTGTCACAATATTAGAATTTATTAAAAAAATAAAAAAACCATATCAAAATACAGTGCCTAGAATAAATAAAATTGAAAAAGAAAAAATATATATATATATATATAACACAAAATCACGCCTTGCTTTGAATAAAAAAATAAAGAAAAATTAAAAAATAAGAAAATGGGCCCACAAATGAGGTTTACTTGAGGTTTTGATTTGTAAACCTGTAGTGAAAAGCTAAACCTTAAACCTCACACATTTAATAACAAAAACTGAGGAGTAGTTTTACAAACCTGGGGCAAACCTCCTTGTTAAAGATGCTCTAATAAGTCATTTTTATATGGTTTGTCTCTTAATCTTGAAAAAAAAAAGTAGAGTTAGATCATTTATTATTCACCTCTTTTAATTGGAGTTGTTTTTTCTAGCCAAAGCGTTAAACTTGAACCAGTTAGCAGTAGCTTGTAAATTAATTAATATATATTATCCCGCTAATATGTTTATATTAATATTAATTTGATTATAGTATATTTATTTATTTCTTGATATAAGAAAAAATAATAAG